TGTTACTCAGGGGACACAGAATTGTTACTCAGGGACAGACACAGAATTGTTACTGAGGGACACAGAATTGTTACTGAGGGACACAGAATTGTTACTCAGGGACACAGAATTGTTACTCAGGGACACAGAATTGTTTACTGAGGGACACAGAATTGTTACTCAGGGACACAGAATTGTTACTGAGGGACACAGAATTGTTACTCAGGGACACAGAATTGTTACTCAGGGACACAGAATTGTTACTCAGGGGGACACAGAATTGTTACTGAGGGACACAGAATTGTTACTGAGGGACAGAAGTTACACAGAATTGTTACTCAGGGACAGACACAGAATTGTTACTGAGGGACACAGAATTGTTACTCAGGGACACAGAATTGTTACTCAGGGACACAGAATTGTTACTCAGGGACACAGAATTGTTACTCAGGGAGGGACACAGAATTGTTACTCAGGGACACAGACACACAGAATTGTTACTGAGGACAGACACAGAATTGTTACTGAGGGACACAGAATTGTTACTCAGGGACACAGAATTGTTACTGAGGGACACAGAATTGTTACTCAGGGGACACAGAATTGTTACTCAGGGACACAGAATTGTTACTCAGGGACAGACACAGAATTGTTACTGAGGGACACAGAATTGTTACTGAGGGGACACAGAATTGTTACTCAGGGACACAGAATTGTTAGGGACACAGAATTGTTACTCAGGGACACAGAATTGTTACTCAGGGACACAGACACAGAATTGTACTACAGGGACACAGAATTGTTACTGAGGGACACAGAATTGTTACTCAGGGAGGGACACAGAATTGTTACTCAGGGACACAGAATTGTTACTGAGGGACACAGAATTGTTACTGAGGGACACAGAATTGTTACTGAGGGACACAGAATTGTTACTCAGGGACAGACACAGAATTGTTACTCTGAGGGACACAGAATTGTTACTGAGGGACACAGAATTGTTACTCAGGGACACAGAATTGTTACTCAGGGACAGGACACAGAATTGTTACTGAGGGACACAGAATTGTTACTGAGGGACACAGAATTGTTACTGAGGGGACACAGAATTGTTTACAGGGAGGGACACAGAATTGTTACTCAGGGACAGACACAGAATTGTTACTGAGGGACACAGAATTGTTACTGAGGGACACACAGAGAATGTTACTGAGGGACACAGAATTGTTACTACTGTTACTCAGGGACACAGAATGTTGAATTAAAGAGTATGTCAGACAACAGCAGAGGAGTGGCAGAGGAGGCAATGTTTTAGGAGCGAGCAGGACGTGGCAGCAGGAAGGGGTACTACGAGGCAGCACTAGTCCCAGCCAGAGGCCAGTGCTCCCGGTGTCATCCAGCGGTCATGTCTCCACCGACACAACCCTGCCGTCATCGATTGGTTGGCTCGTTCGTCTTCCTCTTCCCAGGTCACCTCTGACACCTACAGCCAACAGGTCGGTGTGTACGTCAGACACAACCGTTAGTTGGCATGGCCCGGGAGCAAGCCCACTGAAATCACGTGTCCTCTACCTGCCCTTTGTCCTTTGGTTTCTGTTCCCTCACCAAGCGAAGTATCGCATGCTGTGGGCTCAGCCCCACTGTACAGTGAGGAAGAGCTAACAGAGGGGCGGTCAGGAACGGGGGGGAGACATCCGCCTCTTCAGCAGCCAGGCGAAGAAGAAGTACTGGCGAGGAGAGTGGCTCGGTAGCCGGTCTAGAGACAGGTCTGTCTCCTGACCCACACACGCAGCCGAGGGGGCTAGTAGTGAGGCTGAGGAGACCCTAATGTTGATGATGATGAGGCTGATCGCACTTGGCAGCCTCGTCGTCATCAGGCTATTGCTTCCGCATCATCAAGGAGAAGAGGGTGCCAGCTTGGCAGCGAGCAAAACAGTCGGTGGGTTGCCCAGGAGGCAGCAGGGTCGCAGCAGTGTCAGTGGAGGCAAACGGCCACAGCTCCACGAGTAGAGCACCAGCTCCACTGCATTGTAAAGAAACTTGCAGAATTGTTAAATAAAGACACAGAATTGTTGCAAGGTTCGCTAACCTCTGACACATAACTAGCCAATGGAAAAACGTAACGTCAAAAATACAGTATAGTGTTGCGCATCTCACCCTTCAATCAATACATATAAAAATTGTGTATTAATAAACATATATACTAATACTGGTGAATCTATTTGAATCCAGGGACAATAAACAATGTGCATAGGACAGTGATAAATGAACAATTTATGAAATAGACAAATTGTTAGGGTGCTAAAAAAATAGCAAAAATATATGTATATGAGGCCCATAATTGTTATATGCCATTAAATAATGTCCCAAAAAGTGACTTTGTGCTGTAAAAATCCCATAAATCGGTGACTGCTCCCTGTGACTCCCCTTAAGTGAAGATATGCGCTCACCTCATAACGCCAGCCTCTGCCATGTTAGGCTATTATAGCTTGCGTCTCCTCACCTCCAGAGGGAACCTACTTTGTTTAGGAACTCCAGATTAGTGGCTGCCTGTATTGCGTGGAATGTGCCATGTGCTATGGAAAAATCTCCTCTCTGTATGGTGCCCCACTCCTCTGTCTTCCTGTGCTCCATGCGGTTCATCCCATAACCCAGAAAGATCCTGACATGGTGCTTTATCGTTTTTAAAGGCTTGACTGCATTTGCTTTCAGGTGGCACTCACATATATATTCGTATAGTGGTGTACAATTGTTATTCCACTCCCATTGCCGCTGACTGCCGTAATCTGAGCTGTGCGATCGTGCAGTCCGGCAAACGGACTGACTCCCTCCGAGTGACGTATACAGTCCCACCTGGTACGGCGTTACGCACGGTCACGTTGCTTCATCAGGGGGTCTCCATTGCCATCAAATCTGCCATGTGCCCACGTGACCAGTCCGTACACTGCTGGTAGGGGTCCACTGTATTGTCACTCGGAGTCCCTGTGAGTCAGTCCGTTTGCCGGACCACGATCGCACAGCTCCAGGCCCGGCAATCTCTCCATAACACATTGTACTACCACTATCGAATCATATGTGAGTGCCACCTGGAAAGCAAATTAAAGTCAAGCTTTTCCAAAAAACGATAAAGCCCATGTGGCCAGGGCTCCTCACACTATGGAGAAACCGTTCCATGATGACAGGAAGACAGAGAGGGTGGCACCATATGAGAGGAGCAATTTTTCCATAAGCACATGTCACATTACCGCGGATCATCTTGGGCATTTACTAAGGGTCCAGGAGTTCCTAAACAAGTAGGTTCTGTACGGCCTCCCAGGTGGAACCGCCAAGCTGCCATGTGCCTAATTGCAGTATTTACTGCTGAGGTCCAGCGCATAGGGTCTGGCACTTAAGGGGGAGTCATTGCAGCTGCAGTCACCGATTTATTGAAGATTTTTCTGCCATGGGCCCTTTTTGGGACATTCATGCTGCTGCCAACAGAGTGTTATCATGGGTCCCCTGTACGGCCTCATATTTGCTTGTTCCATCGCCACACTCTGCCATATAACTGTTCAGGTTCCTCACACTGCTATGCACATTGTTTCCATTTGAGTGGTCAAATAGGGTGCTGTATTAGTATATATGTTTACGGGCCTCCCATTGCTGCTGCCAGGCCAGTAAGTGGTGCCATGGTGCCCACTGTACCCCTGGAAGTAGCAGTCAGCCAGTCATTGAGTAGCGGGGCCAAAGTTTCCACTCGGCGGTGTGGCAATTTTTCGTCAAGCCGCCCGAGTACGGGAAGTAAACGTAGCCGTATGTCGACTATGTGGCCAGAAAGTCAAGCGTGGCCATGTGCCACACTCTGCCATGTGCCACTTTCAGGTCTCCTCACACTGCTGGTGCTTCCATTTTTTGTCATAGGGTGCTGGCAGATTACGGGCCTCCCATTGCTGCTGCCAGGCCCGTAATCTGCCATGGGCCCCTGTACCGCCTCCTCATGCTGCTGCCAGGTCCAGAGTGTCTCATGGGTCCCTGTACGGCCTCCCATTGCTGCTGTCTCCATCGCCACACTCTGCCATGTGCCACTTTCAGGTCTCCTCACACTGCTGTGTGGGTTCCATTTTGTCATAGGGTGCTGGCAGATTATTACGGGCCTCCCATTGCTGCTGCCAGGCCCGTAATCTGCCATGGGCCCCTGTACCGCCTCCTCATGCTGCTGCCAGGTCCAGAGTGTGTCATGGGTCCCTGTACGGCCTCCCATTGCTGCTGTCTCCATCGCCACACTCTGCCATGTGCCACTTTCAGGTCTCCTCACACTGCTGGTGGGTTCCATTTTGTCATAGGGTGCTGGCAGATTACGGGCCTCCCATTGCTGCTGGCCAGGCCCCTAATCTGCCATGGGCCCCTGTACCGTATTACCGCCTCCTCATGCTGCTGCCAGGTCCCAGAGTGTCTCATGGGTCCCTGTACGGCCTCCCATTGCTGCTGTCTCCATCGCCACACTCTGCCATGTGCCACTTTCAGGTCTCCCTCACACTGCTGTGGGTTCCATTTTGTCATAGGGTGCTGGCAGATTACGGGCCTCCCATTGCTGCTGCTGCCAGGCCCCTAATCTGCCATGGGCCCCTGTACCGTACCCCCTCTGCTGCTGCTGCCAGTCCACAGTGTCTCATGGGTCCCTGTACGGCCTCCCATTGCTGCTGTCTCCATCGCCACACTCTGCCATGTGCCACTTTCAGGTCTCCTCACACTGCTGTGGGTTCCATTTTGTCATAGGGTGCTGGCAGATTACGGGCCTCCCATTGCTGCTGCCGGCCCCCTAATCTGCCATGGGCCCCTGTACCGCCTCCTCATGCTGCTGCCAGGTCCACAGAGTGTGTCATGGGTCCCTGTACGGCCTCCCATTGCTGCTGTCTCCATCGCCACACTCTGCCATGTGCCACTTTCAGGTCTCCTCACACACTGCTGTGGGTTCCATTTTGTCATAGGGTGCTGGCAGATTACGGGCCTCCCATTGCTGCTGCCAGGCCCCTAATCTGCCATGGGCCCCTGTACCGCCTCCTCATGCTGCTGCCAGGTCCCAGAGTGTCTCATGGGTCCCTGTACGGCCTCCCATTGCTGCTGTCTCCATCGCCACACTCTGCCATGTGCCACTTTCAGGTCTCTCTCCTCACTGCTGCTGGTGTGTTCCATTTTGTCATAGGGTGCTGGCAGATTACGGGCCTCCCATTGCTGCTGCCAGGCCCCTAATCTGCCATGGGCCCCTGTACCGCCTCCTCATGCTGCTGCCAGGCCCACAGTGTCTCATGGGTCCCTGTACGGCCTCCCATTGCTGCTGTCTCCATCGCCACACTCTGCCATGTGCCACTTTCAGGTCTCCTCACACTGCTGCTGGTGGTTCCATTTTTGTCATAGGATGCTGGCAGATTACGGGCCTCCCATTGCTGCTGCCAGGCCCGTAAATCTGCCATGGGCCCCTGTACCGCCTCCTCATGCTGCTGCCAGGTCCAGAGTGTCTCATGGGTCCCTGTACGGCCTCCCATTGCTGCTGTCTCCATCGCCACACTCTGCCATGTGCCACTTTCAGGTCTCCTCACACTGCTGCTGGGTTCCATTTTGTCATAGGGTGCTGGCAGATTACGGGCCTCCCATTGCTGCTGCCAGGCCCGTAATCTGCCATGGGCCCCTGTACCGCCTCCTCATGCTGCTGCCAGGTCCCAGTGTCTCATGGGTCCCTGTACCGCCTCCCATTGCTGCTGTCTCCATCGCCCACACTCTGCCATGTGCCACTTTCAGGTCTCCTCACACTGCTGGTGGGTTCCATTTTGTCATAGGGTGCTGGCAGATTACGGGCTCTCCCATTGCTGCTGCCAGGCCCCTAATCTGCCATGGGCCCCTGTACCGCCTCCTCATGCTGCTGCCAGGTCCAGAGTGTGTCTCATGGGTCCCTGTACGGCCTCCCATTGCTGCTGTCTCCATCGCCACACTCTGCCATGTGCCACTTTCAGGTCTCCTCACACTGCTGCTGGTTGTTCCATTTTGTCATAGGGTGCTGGCAGATTACGGTGCCTCCCATTGCTGCTGCCAGGGCCCGTAATCTGCCATGGGCCCCTGTACCGCCTGCCTCCTCCTCATGCTGCTGCCAGGTCCACAGTGTCTCATGGGTCCCTGTACGGCCTCCCATTGCTGCTGTCTCCATCGCCACACTCTGCCATGTGCCACTTTCAGGTCTCCTCACACTGCTGGTGGGTTCCATTTTGTCATAGGGTGCTGGCAGATTACGGGCCTCCCATTGCTGCTGCCAGGCCCGTAATCTGCCATGGGCCCCCGCTACCGACTCCTCATGCTGTGACGTTGCAACAAGGTGGAATTCAACCCTACATATGTTAGACCGCCTTTACGAACAGCGAAAGGCCATCACCGATTTCCTGATGTTACAAGCGGATAAAGGTACTCCCCTGTGTAACTTAGATGTCAGCCATTGGCAGCTCATGCGTGACACCTGCCGCTTGCTCAGGCCCTTTGAGGAGGCCACGCTATTCGTGAGTCGGCAGGACTATGGGATGAACGACGTCATTCCTCTGTTGCACGTCCTGGAACAAATGCTGTTAACAATGGCTGGTCAGGGTGCGGTAGACGTGGCGCACAGATCTCAACGCCACATGACCCCTGTGGGGGCAGGACAGGAAGAAGAGGAGGAGAGGTAGAGGATGACATTGGTGCTCAGGAATTATTGAGTGAAATGGGTGGTTTTTTCACTCAGCGGACAGGAGTGGAGGAGCAGGAGCATCTGGTAGAGGAGGAGGAGGAGAGACAGAGGACCCAGACGCACCAAGGCAGTATGCTGTGGAGATGGAGGCAGGGAGTCCCTCGCATTCCTTGGCACAAATGGCCCATAGCATGCTCGGTTGCTTGCGTAGCGACAGCCGAATAATAACCATCAGACAGAGGGATGACTTTTGGCTGTCCACCTTGTTGGACCCTCGCTACCGTTCAAAAATGGTGGCCTTTTTTCACACCTGCTGAGAGGGAGGCCAAAATAACGTAACTATAAAAACCACCTATGTAGTCAGTTGGTCTCTGCCTTTCTGCGCCAACGTCCATCCTCAGACACTGTGGGCCCTGTGCGCTCGCGTTCCGCTGCCATGGCAGCAGGGAGGGGTGGGGTGGTAGGAGCAGTGGCAGCTCCACCAGCAGCGGCTGCTCAGTCTGCAGTCGATGATGAGTAGCTTTCTTCACCAGCGCAGTGAGGAAACTACTAACCAGCCGCAGCAGCAGCAGCATCAGGTGGACCTGGAGCAGGAGCTCAAACAACAGGCTTGGGCCTACTTGGACAGCACCCTGCCAACCGAGGTAGACAATCCCCTTGACTACTGGGCAACGAAAACTTGACCTTTTGGCCCCAACTAGCTGAATTTGCCCTTGAAAGGCTGTCATGCCCGGCCAGTAGCGTGGCATCGGAGCTCGTGTTTAGTGCGGCAGGAGGTATTGCAACTCCGCGGAGGACACGACTGTCCACCCAAAGTGTGGAGAGACTCATGTTTGTGAAAATGAATCAGGCGTGGATTAGTCTGGATTTCAAACCACCAGTTCCTGACACAACTGACTAAATCCGCCATGAATCATGCCCCCCCAAACATGTGCCACTTTCAGGTCTCCTCACACTGCTGCTGGGTTCCATTTTGTCATAGGGTGCTGGCAGATTACGGGCCTCCCATTGCTGCGGCCAGGCCCCTAATCTGCCATGGGCCCCTTGTACCGCCTCCTCATGCTGCTGCAGCCAGGTCCACAGTGTGTCATGGGTCCCTGTACGGCCTCCCATTGCTGCTGTCTCCATCGCCACACTCTGCCATGTGCCACTTTCAGGTCTCCTCACACTGCTGCTGGGTTCCATTTTGTCATAGGGGGCTGGCAGATTACGGGCCTCCCATTGCTGCGGCCAGGCCCCTAATCTGCCATGGGCCCCTGTACCGCCTGTACCGCCTCCTCATGCTGCTGCCAGGTCCACACAGTGTCTCATGGGTCCCTATACCGCCTCCCATTGCTGCTGTCTCCATCGCCACACTCTGCCCATGTGCCACTTTCAGGTCTCCTCACACTGCTGCTGGGTTCCATTTTGTCATAGGATGCTGGCAGATTACGGGCCTCCCATTGCTGCGGCCAGGCAGCTAATCTGCCATGGGCCCCTGTACCGCCTCCTCATGGTGCTGCCAGGGGTCCACAGTGTCTCATGGGTCCCTATACCGCCTCCCATTGCTGCTGTCTCCATGCCACACTCTGCCATGTGCCACTTTCAGGTCTCCTCACACTGCTGCTGGGTTCCATTTTGTCATAGGGTGCTGGCAGATTACGGGCCTCCCATTGCTGCTGCCAGGCCCCTAATCTGCATGGGCCCCTGTACCGCCTCCTCATGCTGCTGCCAGGTCCCACAGTGTCTCATGGGTCCTGTACCGCCTCCTCCCATTGCTGCTGTCTCCATCGCCACACTCTGCCATGTGCCACTTTCAGGTCTCCTCACACTGCTGGTGGGTTCCATTTTGTCATAGGGTGCTGGCAGATTACGGGCCCTCCCATTGCTGCTGCCAGGCCCCTAATCTGCCATGGGCCCCCGTAACCCGCCTCTCATGCTGCTGCCAGGTCCAGAGTGTGTCATGGGTCCCTATACCGCCTCCCATTGCTGCTGTCTCCATCGCCACACTCTGCCATGTGCCACTTTCAGGTCTCCCTCACACTGCTGCTGGGTTCCATTTTGTCATAGGATGCTGGCAGATTACGGGCCTCCCCATTGCTGCGGCCAGGCCCCTAATCTGCCATGGGCCCCTGTACCGCCTCCTCATGCTGCTGCCAGGTCCACAGTGTCTCATGGGTCCCTGTACGGCCTCCCATTGCTGCTGTCTGTCTCCATCGCCACACTCTGCCATGTGCCACTTTCAGGTCTCCTCACACTGCTGCTGGGTTCCATTTTGACATAGGATGCTGGCAGATTACGTTGCCTCCCATTGCTGCGGCCAGGCCCCTAATCTGCCATGGGCCCCTGTACCGCCTCCTCATGCTGCTGCCAGGTCCACAGTGTGTCATGGGGTCCCTGTACGGCCTCCCATTGCTGCTGTCTCCATCGCCACACTCTGCCATGTGCCACTTTCAGGTCTCTTCACACTGCTGCTGGGTTCCATTTTGTCATTAGGGTGCTGGCAGATTACGGGCCTCCCATTGCTGCTGCCAGGCCCCTAATCTGCCATGGGCCCCCGTACCGCCTCCTCATGCTGCTGCCAGGTCCACAGTGTGTCATGGGTCCCTGTACGGCCTCCCATTGCTGCTGTCTCCATCGCCACACTCTGCCATGTGCCACTTTCAGGTCTCCTCACACTGCTGGTGGGTTCCATTTTGTCATAGGGTGCTGTATGGCCTCCCATTGCTGCTGCCAGGGACCGTAATCTGCCATGGGCCCCTGTACCGCCTCCTCATGCTGCTGCCAGGTCCAGAGTGTGTCATGGGTCCCTGTACCGCCTCCTCATGCTGCTGCCAGACCCGTAATCTGCCATGGGCCCCCGTACCGACTCCTCATGCTGCTGCCAGGCCCGTAATCTGTCATGGGCCCCTGTACCGCCTCCTCATGCTGATGCCAGGTCCAGAGTGTGTCATGGGCCCCCGTACCGACTCCTCATGCTGCTGCCAGGCCCGTAATCTGCCATGGGCCCCTGTACCGCCTCCTCATGCTGCTGCCAGGTCCCAGAGTGTGTCATGGGTCCCTGTACGGCCTCCATTGCTGCTGCCCAGGCCCGTAATCTGCCATGGGACCCCCCCGTACCGACTCCTCATGCTGCTGCCAGGCCCGTATAATCTGTTATGGGCCCCTGTAACCGCCTCCTCATGCTGCTGCCAGGTCCAGAGTGTGTCATGGGTCCCTGTATGGCCTCCCATTGCTGCTGTCTCCATCGCCACACTCTGCCATGTGCCACTTTCAGATCTCCTCACACTGTGGTGGGTTTTCCATTTTGTCATAGGGTGCTGTATGGCCTCCCATTGCTGCTGCCCATCCACCGCCACACTGTGGCTCCACACTCTGGTTTTTGGCCCCGTGACTGCCCAAATGAGTGAAGTGTGCGGTGATTCTAAGATTGACGGCACTCATTCTGCATGTCATACTGACTGACGTATTATTTCTCCTTCCCCAGCAGACTCCAAGGGCATTTAAATTAAAGGTACAGTGTTCTGCACTAATATAAAGGCTCTCTGAAGCCTAGAAACACCCTTTTATAAGTTAAATTCGCAGCGAATATATTCGATTCGAATCAAATTTTTTCCACGAATTCGCCGAATCAGTCGAAATCGAATTTTTGAATAATTCGCTCATCTCTAGTCCTGATCACTACCACACCAGTCCCTGTGTCCCTGATCACCCACCGCCACACCAGTTACAGTGTCCCTGATCACCATCATACCAGTCCCCGGTGCCCCTGTTCACTGCCACACCCATCATATTGTCCTTAATCACCACTAACAAGTTTACAGTGTCCAAGATGACTGCCACACCAGTTTCCCAGTGCCCGGCTGAACGCTGCCACACCAGTTACAAACATCCCTGATCACCATCACTCCAGTTACAGAATCCCTGATCACCGCACATCAGTCACAGTGTCCCTGATCATGGCACACCAGTCAGTGTCTCTGATCACCATCACACCAGTCAGTGCCCCGGCCATCACACATCAGTCACAGTGTCCCTGATCACCATTACACCAGTCACAGTGTCCCCCGATCATCGCACATCAGTCACAGTGTGTGTCCCTGATCACCATCAACCAGTCACAGTGTCCCCGATCATCGCACATCAGTCACAGTGTGTGTCCCTGATCACCATCACACCAGTCAGTG